AAAATCTCCAGAGAGTGGATAACATGCCAGAATTGGATGCCAGGGCTTTGAGTGAGGAATAGGTATTGGGAAAATATTCCACTCTGATCACTTCCTGAGCAAGAAAGTTTTGCTGGATCCAGATCCCTTCTACTAAGAAAAGGAATCCTTGTTTTTATAGCAAGTCAAACCTAATCTCTTCCTGAAGCAACAGCCAAAGGGGCTGTGGGGAAAAAAGATAGCAAGAAGACTGGGAGAAAAACTTATCGACTGATATAAAAACCCAGGATGCAAATTCTAGACAGGATGGTGAAAAAGACTGTCTCACTTAATATTCTGGGTGTTATCACAACAGGCACAACCAAGATGGGAATTGATTAATTTTTGAACTTCCAGCTCATACATGACATCCAAACTGCCTGTAAGAAAAACAGTGAACTTCAGCAAACACTTGCCATGTGGAACAGATGTCATATTTAATAGCGGTGTCATGATAATTAGCTAACATAATTTTTGACACTCATAATAACACTCATAATAATTGACTGTATTATGAACCATGCTCAGTAGATAATTGACCCAAGTTCAATAGTGCATATGCCCCATATCAGCTCTTGTTGGTGCCTGTGCTCTGATGCTTAAGGAGACGTTCCTTGATTGTCCTTAAACAATATTAACTACAAAACAAACTCCATTTCAGATTGTTTTGTTAATACTAAATGTTTCCTGTCAATGAAACTCCTTTTTTATTATTTTTGTGAAGGCAAGACCAATGTGGTTGTTCATCTGGGTCAATCAATTGCCTCGATTGTATCTTACAGCTATTTTCCTCATACAGATTATAAGTACATGTTTCAATAAGTGAAACAAGATCAACTGAAGATTCACCTGTGAATTACTATCCATTTATTGCCATATACTTAATACTTTCTTGGAAACAATACTGGATGAAGTAGAATTTGATCTAATCCAGCAAGCCATTTCTTATGTCCTAATGGAAGGTTACAGATTCACGCTCACTTGACCTAATAGAATTGTGATTTTTACACATTTTTCTTTCTAAATATAAAACTCATTTTTGAACCATTAGATATCTAGATTTACCAACAGTCATCCCTAAAATTCCTTAGCCATGCCCAGTCATGTGTGAGTTACAATATGGGGTGATGATGCATGCAAATGCAAATCCAGATACACCACTATCTGATAATATTACTCTATGATAAAATATAAAGATACATATTGCATTTATTTTACAAATGAATTTATTTATGAATTGGAGGAGCATTCAAATGCAGTGCTTTTTATCTGGACTTCGTTAATTTAGTTATGCATATCTTCATAACAAATCATGATCTAAACTTTTTTTTAAATATGTGGTTGTTTGCTGCTACTAGTTAAAAACAGGGAATTTACACCAAGGAACACTGAGTTTCAACACGTTACTAATGTAATGACACCACCTTTTTTAGTTACTTGCAAGTGTCCATCCTACATATCTACTTCAGGAAGACATTCTAATCTCTTTAGATTTTTGTCTTGGCAGTTCAACTTGTTAGGCAGCTCAAGTCAGTTACTAGCTGGCCTCTTAACTGAACACCCTGTTTTAAGAGTAAAACTCACTCAGTAGAATGGGATACGTTAGAGGTGAGGAAGTGAAAACTGACATATTCCTAACTAAGACAGACAGTATTAAGAATTCCAGGAAATCTAATTGAGCAACATATGGAATTCTGTGAGTATTTCATCTCATGCACAACGTGATTCTGAAAATACTGTCTGAAGGTATTATATTTTCATTCTCTATTTTATAATACACTCTTTCTCCATAAAGCTGTAATAGTAGCATTAAAATGGCCTACTAACTCACTGGTGCAAAGTCCAAAATTGAGCTATCTGTTTCTATCAAAACAGGACAGCCATTGGTCCTTGTTCCTTTTATTGTAGTAACAAATTCTCTATTCCATAGCCTAAAACTGTAAGAGTTTAAGAAGTTTGAAAGAGGAGGAGGGGAAGCAAAAAAGGGAGGTTTCTGAAAGACAAGATGGATTTTCTCCATTATTAACTCAAACATTACTTAATTTATTTAGAAAATATATATAATAAACCTTGGAAATCAATCAAATTATTTTTTTCGCTTTGAAAGTTCATTATCAGGAGCAATCCTGATAATTGCAAAGAGTGCCTGGCCATCAGGACTGCTGCTGAAGCAAATACAATAGCACCATTCATTTCTCAGAGCACAGGGTTAGTCAGGGCCTTGCATGCCTTGTCTTATTAAATTATCTGATGCCTTCCGGCATTTTGCTTAGCTCTGCTATATTAGAGAGGCAAGACAGCTGCTTGCAATGCTGAAAATTCATCCCACTCCTGAAATATGCTGAGAGGAAGCAGAATAAGGAAATTAAAAAAAGAATACAGCAGGGCAACTCCAGCTTTTCTTTAGCTGCAGGCTTGACACACTGTCCGGTTTTCTAGGAATTTGTTCTATGTATAATACTAGCAAATTAATAGCTTGGCCTGAAAGAATATTGTGTGTCCCATTTGATTGTCCTCTTTTTTGACTTGGTTGGCATCTGTTCCTGATTTGTTTAACATGAAATTTGTCATCTCTCAAAATTAAGCCCAGTTTACCCATGATGGGCTACCACACGCACACATCTGACTAAGAATGTTTACATTTCGTGAAAAGCATATTCAACCATATATGCAAGAAACCTGTCATGAGGGAATTTCCTATGTAAAAAGATAGGCAAATGTTGCTAAGGAAGAGGCACACCTCTTTTCTACAGTTTCCTGAATTTCTTCTTTCATTCTGTTTTGTGGATTAAAAGTTTAGGTTAACATTTTAAGGCAGGGGTTAGTCCCACTTGTTGGCTGGGGTTTTGTTTTGTTTTTTGGTTCTGACCCAAGACGTTTGAACTCATGACCAATGAAGTCCAAGTATCTCCAGTAAGACCAAAGTTGAACGTTTCAGAAGGTGCTTTTTCAAGAGAGAACTGGACTTTCTGGTTTTTCTTTGAAGATGTTTCGTTCCTCATCCAAGAAGCTTCTTTAGATCTTCTTGGACGAGAAGCTTCTTTAGCTCTTCTTGGATGAGAAGTGAAATGTCTTCAAAGAAAAAACAGTAAGTCCATTTGCCTTTTGAAAAAGTATCTTTGGGACAACCATGACCTGGATGACTGAGAATCTCCATAGACTTTTAGAATAGCATTTCTCTGTTTGAGGCAGTTTAGATGAGGGCTTAAGAGGCGGAGGAGATTTTATCCCCCAAATTATTCAATATAATTAAAAATGGCTCTAAAAATTTGTTCCTGTCTAACCTGGCAGTTCCAAAGAGTTATGTAATATGCCAACTTCTCTTCCAAGGATAAAGTGATATTCTAAAACCAGCAAAATAGCACATTGTGAACCAATCCAAAATGGTTTAGAGGCTCCTAATACACAATCTATCATTCTTTTAAGGCTTTAACTTAAAACTGTTAAGGTTTTCTCTTTGGGAATTTCAATTTTGAGAAAAGTTTCAGCTGCTAAACCTTGATTTTATTCTTCCTCTAGGACAAAAGCAAGTGACTACTGTCAAATATTAAATAAAGATTGGACTCGGTTAGTTCAAACCTATGGAAAATGAAAGACTATACTGTGGGGATGTTCTGCCCTGAAATCTGACTAAAATATATTCAATAAATAATTACATTTTTGATTTCTCCCTTTCTACCCAACAAATCCAAATGGTTTGGTTCTAAATCAATCCAGTGAAGTCAATAGAGTAAATCTACACCCAACGTAATAATGCTTGGCCTGGGATTCAGTTACGTGACTGATATATGACTCTGTTCTCAAATATAATTAAAATATTATAATTTTTAGTAATCCAGTCATTTCAATATATATGCAGATTTAGACTTTGTTTCTATATTATATGTTCATTGTTATTTGGAAGCCCTCTATCATATTCAGAGCAAACATACAGTATAAAGGAGAGCCATTAGAATGCATTGGGAATTCACAAAAATATTAACATCTTTGGGAGAACTGAATGGAATACAACATATATTGGTATAAGTCAGTGTAAATCACCATAGTTTGTATTCATGTTTTGAATGAATCAGGATTTAGTTTGTGATGAGAGATTCCATGGAGAGTCAACTATTTAGAGCAGTGTTTCCCAGTGTCTGCAACTATAAGATGTTTAGACTTCAACTTCCAGAATTTCCCAGACAACATGCTGGCAAGGAAATTCTGGGACTTAAAGTCCACTCATTTTAAAACTGCAAACATTTACAGTAATAGTTCTTTGAAATAGTCCTTTGGCAACGATTGAGAAAGCAGGGCGAGGACAGGATGTCTGACAACCTTCCAATTGTTCAGCAAAGATCTGAGGCTGCAGTGAACCAATGCAGAAAGTGTCCTACCCCAATTTAAAGCTATAAACTTTAAAAAAAAATCTTGAAAAACTAAACTCTTACTTTTTTACTTGCTTGTTTGGATCTTGCTTGGCATGACCCTGTAGATAGCACATCAAGGTCCTCAGGCATCACAATATGCATTTATTCATTAAAGAGTCTGAAGCCATAAATAATACTAACAAGCGGGTTAATCATTCATAGATCATATTATGCAATTATTTCAGAAAAGCAGCTTAAGATCTGATTATGGTTATTAGGCCCCAAGAGAAAGTTCCTATTTCTTTAGGTTTTTTTCCTTATTTCTGATATGTTGTTGCCCTTTTATTTGTGATCCTTAGCCCACCTAATTTTTCCACTGATGATTTCATAATTTAGATTTACTGGTTGCATTCTAAACAGAGCAGTGTCAGCCTTATGGCTGACAAGCTGCACAACATTGGTTCAATAGTCCACTGACTAACATAACATTTTAAGTGTTATAAATTGATGGTCATGTCAGTCATTTTCCATGCTCTTTTGTAATTGGTATTTTCCTTGAATTGCTAACTTCTAACTTTGAAAAGCTGTCTTACTCTCATTGTAAAACACTTCTCTTAGCTTTTGTTTTTCAGAAGGAACAATATTCAGGCTGAATGCTTTAGTAAATGAAGAGCTCCATATAGAACAGAAACACATTACGGTTTCCTGGAAAATGATTACAAAGAGAACAAGTTTGGGGTAAATGCAACGTATGTCATACAGTTAAAACAAAGAGTCAGTGCTTTCATTCAACTTAGTGGCAAATAGATTTTCCCAGCTAGGTCAGAATAGCATGACTGAGTTAGAGAATTAAAAAAAATATGGAAGTCTTCTATTATAGGCCAAAAAACAAACAAACCCCAAATTGATCCCATTTGTTTATAGTACATATTATTTTTATAACAGAATAACAGAATTGGAATGGACCTTGGACATCTTCCAGTTTAACCCTGTGCTCAAGCAGGAGACCAAATACTACAGTATATCAGACAAATGGTTGTCCAATCACTTCTTTAAAATCTCCAGTGATAGAGCACGCACAGCTTCTGGAAGCAAGCCATTCCACTGATTAATTGTTCTGTCAGGAAATTTCTCTTTAGTTCTCTAGGTTGCTTCTCTCCTTGATTAATTTCCATCCATTGCTTCTTGGCCTGCCCTCAGGTGCTTTGGAGAATAGCTTGACTCCCCCTTCTTTGTGGCAACCCCTGAGATATTGGAACACTGCTATCATGTTACTCCTATTCCATTTTAAGTTGTAAGGACATCCAATTTGATAAAAAACTGTACACATATATTATTATTCTTTCTTGCTGAATAGAATAGAATAGAATAGAATAGAATAGAATAGAATAGAATAGAATAGAATAGAATAGAATAGAATAGAATA